AAAAAAAAAAGCTGGAAACACAGGGAATCCAGGACAGATAAACCCCTCAGGACCAATACTGAGAGTAGCCATAGCAGGCGGGGGAAGGGAAGGTGGAGGGAGAAAGGGGGAACTGATCACAATGATCTACCTGTAACCTCCTCCCAGGGGGAGGGACCACAGAAAATTGGGTAAAGGAAGACATCAATCAGTGTAAGACATGAAAAAATAATCATAGTTTATAAATTATCAAGGGTTCATGAGGGAGGGAGGGAGGGTAGAAGAGAAAGGGGGAAGAAATGAGCTGATACCAAGGGCTCAAGTAGAAACAAAATGTTTTGAGAATGATGATGGCAACAAATTGTACAAATGTGCTTGACACAATGGATGGATGGATGCATTGTGGTAAGAGTTGTACGAGCCCTCAATACAATGATTTTTAAGTGCTTGACTGCTAGCACAAAGGTCGGCGGTTCAAACCCACCCAGGGCACCTTGGAAGAAAAGCCTGGCACTCACTCTCATAAACAAAAATTCGGAAAACGGTAAGGGGGCATTCCACTCTGCCCTACTGGGTCACTATGAGACAGGGTCAACTTGCCGGCTCCAACAGCAGGCTCTGTCTGAAGCTGCCAGGCAGTGTGAACACGTGACATGGTCTCCATCCACTCAGCACAAAGCTGGTGGCTCCAGTCCACCACACAAGAAATCCCTGGAGATCTACTGCTGAGAAGCCAGCCACTGGGAGTCCCCGCTGGCCCAGCGGTCAAGCCCTGGGCTGCTAAGGACAAGGCCAGCAGTTCCAAACCACTAGCTGCACCACAGGAGAAAGACAAAGCTTTCTACTCCCCTAAAGAGTTAGTCTGGGAACCCACAGGGGCAGGTCTACCCTGCCCTAGAAGGTCACTGGGGGTCAGAATGGACTCGATAGCAGTGAGTTTGACTTTGGGGTTGTTTTTGTTTTGTTTTGAAATCCTTTGTCTGGAGCCCGCTTCTCCTCTAACACGTCTGGGGTCACTATGTGTCAAATCAACGCAATGGCAATAAGTTGGGTTTGTTTGTTTGGAAATCCTATGTGTGCAGGGAGCCCAGTTCTGTTCTGACCTTCATGGGGTCAGAATCAACTCAAAGGCAGCTGGTAGGCTTTGGGCATACTCTGTGTGCTCAGGACACCCATGGGTGCAGCGCTGAGAGAGGGGAAAGGCTCTCAGGTCCCAGCCGAGGTGAGAAGGGCCCTGATGCTGAGGACGGGGCGCTTTCCAGGCCAGCACAGTGTCCCCTCGGGCAGCCTCTCAAAAGCTCCCTCAAAGCTATGGAGTTGAAGCCGGCTCACAGCCACCTACAGGCCTCTGCAAGACAGACACCCGCTCGCTCGGCATCCCTGCCCTCACAATGGCTTCCAGAGCGCTGCCACTCACGGTAGAAGAGGGCTCTCCCTTACCCGCTCAGAGGGCCGTACCGCTTCCGGAGCTCCAGGTGGCTTTCCCAGAAACCCTGCAAAAACATGGGGGCAGCGTCAGCAGGGGGGCGCAGAGTGTGGGCTCCGCACACGTCCTCGGGAGCCCGTCAGGGACAGGGCGTGCACAATTACCCACAGGACAGCAGAGGAAGAGGGTTGAAGTGATATTGCTTTCAAGGAGTCAAGGGGAACTAGAATAAACGAATCGCTTTCAGAATATTTCCTGCCAAGTCAAAATCTTGGCCAGCTCTGCTCTAATGGACAGAGGAGACTGTCTGTACTTAAACTCTTTGGGTATAATGACGGCGAATATATTTGAAAACGACTTGCTTCCTCAAGCATGCCAACATTCCCCTTTGCCGTTGGGTTTATCGGTGGTTTGTTTTGCTTTGTTTTTTTCTTGGCACAGCCTCTCTTTGTGCCAACTTCCCCTGAGCCTGTCCCAGTGGTTGGAAATCCCAAATTGTTGTCATCCACGTTCAAGAAGCATTCAAAATGTGGGAAGCTTCCTTGATCTGGGACAAAGCACTAAGCCCTTTTGCCGTGGGAAAAGCCTGCTTCCGGAGGGCGATACGGAAACGGGGTGGGTGGTCAGAGAAGCGCCCGGCTGCTGTGTTGTGCGGGCAGAGTGGGTGCTGACAGGCCAGGGCTGGGGCGGTGGCGATACGTGAGACGTGTGTTGTGTGAGGATGGCCTTTGCTTGCAGATATTGGGGTGGGGGCAGGAGAAGAGGGGCTGAAGATGCTGGAGCCACTGTGGTCATGGGGCGGAGTTGTGTCGGGGCGACAGGATGTGTACAGCCACGGGGGGGCGGGGGGAGTTTCTTCAGGTGGAGGAGGGGGGAAATGATAGACCCCTTGCGTTTTAGGAATGGAGTAGACTTGTGCATGTGCACAGGTTGGCATGGGACTGGGGAGCTGAAAGATGCTAGACTTGCTGTGGGTTACAGAATGGGGGAGAGGAAGGGCTGGGTGGGGGTGGAGGGTTGAGGGTGGCAGAGGTGCTTGTTGGGAGGGGGGCGTACTCCATTCTCAATCCATGGGCTAAAACTCCAGGCGTGAGTGTGCCACGTTTCAAGGGGAGCTTCTGTGGATACAAATTAGTCAAGGAAACTGGGGTGTTCTAGAAAGTTGTTAGCGGGGTTGGTACACCCAAGGATGATGAGGGGAAAAGGAGCACATGTGGAGGTTACCATAGTGACGGTTACCCTGTGTCCCTCCAGTGCTGCTGCTGCTGCTGTTGTTAGGCACCATCGAGTTCATATTGACTCGTAGTGACCGCTGAACAACAGACTGAAACATCACCAGGCCCTGCCCCAGCCTCACAGTGGCTCTGATGTTTGAGTCCACTGTGGTGGCCACTGTGTGAAGCCGTCTTGGTGAGGGTAGATGGATGGATGGATGGTAGATGGATGTATGTATGAATGGATAGGTGGATGGAATGATTGTGGATGGGTGGCCAGTGGATCGATGGATGGTCGGTAGATATAGATGGGATAGGTGGGTGAATGGATGGATGAATGGTGGATAGATGGTGGGATGGTAGATGGATGGTGGATGGGTGTATAGATGGATGGTAGAGATTGGACGTATAGGTAGAGGGATGGTAGATGGGATGAGAGATAAGAGGTGGGTCTTTGTTTTTATCTAAGGATTCATCCCAGGACAGGAATTCCTCGTAGAGCACCTTCCAACACAGCACGGCCTCAGGGCAGTAGGTGTGATGAGAAAATGACGAGGAGGCCTCGTCTGACCTCATGTGGCTACACAAGGGAAGGTAATCATTTCCATCCCAGCTCCAGGCCGATGGCCACAAGGCAAAGGTCAGAGATGGCTCCACTGTCCATCTTTCTTCACCCTCTTCTGACACCGACACTCCGCTCTTCTGCTGGGTTTGAGATGGTCACACAGACCTCACGGGCCATATCACGATGGCAGCTTATGAGGAACGTTAACAGGTTAACACCGGCCAGGATCATAAAACATTAAGGACACCATCTCTGATCCACAGCAGTGCCTCTCCTCAACCGGCAGCCAAGTACCTCTCTGGGCCTCGGTCTCGCTGTCACATGGTCCCTTGACCTCTGCCTTGCTCCGTGGTCCAGGAAGCTGCTCCTCTGCTCTGCCTCCTGGTCTCCCGGTCTCTAGCCTCAGCACTGCAGCTCCTTTGCATTCAGCATGGCATGGCCTCTGCTGCTTCTGCCACTGCAGGCAGGGATCTCGAAGGAACCTGCTCCCCTGGTGGCTCTTCCTCACCGATGGTCCTGGGAATTCTCTCTCTTGGCTTCTGAGGTGGCTCTCTTATACCCAGGTGAATAGCAAAATGGACCAATCCCTGAGTTAGAGTCCTCTACACCTTATTTGCAGGATCCCACGAATTCATTTGGTAGCAATTATAGAGAAATGGAGAGAAAGGCCATAAGTAATTATGGCCATAAGCGAAGCAATCATATTCACTTTTGAATATAATTATATTCAATATAAGTGAACCACTTCACCATATATGGGTTCCTAGGTGGGAGCCTTGGTACTCTATGGTTAGAAGCTGCACGAGCTCAGCAGGTGTTCTGCTCAAATTCTAGACCACCAGGAAGGTGCTTAACCAGCCCTTACCTGGCGGAAAAACGTCAAGTTTCCAATAAACAGGGAAGGCTTGGGATGTCTGATGCCCAACTTCTTCAGCCGTGAAAATGCTGATGTGGAGTACCTGAGGAGAAGAGCACCGTTAGAAAACCGAGACCCTCATGGTTACCTGTGCACTTTTGGCTACCCGGGTGGTCAGAGTTATTGAGCGCTCTAGAAATGAGGGCAGAGTCCCTAGGAGGTGCAAATGGTTAATGGGCTTGGCTGTTAACCAAAATCTTGGTGGTTTGAATCTGCCTAGGGGCACCACAGAAGAAAGATGTATTAATCTACTCTGAAAAGCAAGCCATTAACAACCCTGTGAAGCACATTTCTACTTGGCAGCAACTGGAGTTTGTTGTTAATTTTGAAGGATTGAAGAGGCCAAGGCCTAGAGGTGAGCAAATGAACAGGAACTCTGAACCCCTTCAGATGGAGGGATCAGGGAGCCCCGGAACCTGAGAGCTTCAGCTGAGGCACTGACAGCACGGAGGCACCACATGGGGAGGTGCCTGTGACGAATCCCTATGTGATGATCATGATCCATCTCCGATAGCCATCATCCATCTACCCGTCCACCCACTGGTTCATCCACCGACCTGTCTACCCTTCCACTTGCCCACCCATTTGTCCACGCACCCACACATCTGCCCATCCACCTGTTGGCCCATCCCTCCACCCATTCTCCCACCCAGCCACCCACCCATCTTTCCATCCACCCATCCATCCATCTATCCACCAACCCACCCACCCACCCATCTATACATCCACCCATCCATCCATCTATCCACCCACCCACCCA